ATATCTATGCAAATATTTATTTATTTCTTATAAATTCATTATACAACATTAGTATAAATGCGATCACAATAAATCACAATCTTCTCTACAAGCGATTACAAATGTTACATCCTGCATACGCGAACATATATATATAAATTTTAGTTAAACTTGCATTTGAGATGTATATATTTCTTACGAGCGACTCGATTTTTCGACGGTAACTTATTTTCGACATTATTGGTGGCTAACAGCGAGTTACCTGCCGACATAATTGTATACTTGTATTATATACTTTAATTTCGATCCTTTATCTCGCGCTTTGTTATATTTTGATCATTATTGGCGCGACGTGACGATATTTTAGATGCTGCACAAAGAGTGCGAAGTGTATGTTTGCGTTCTATTTTTTTTTGTACACGAAAGTATTCGTGGATGTATGTCTGTTATGGAAAATGAAAAGTGAGTCGTGATCTAGATAATTTTGGATTAACTTTAATTTGAAAGTTGTTAAACGCGCAAGTGCTACGTGACGTTGTGCGGCATACATAAAGTACATTAACATATGTATGTATGATATTATGTACAAATAACGATATTCGTTTAAAATAAAGTCGTTTACAAATATATGATATTTCTACTTTCTAGATTGCACACATAACATGAATATAGGAATATAGTATAGAAATACATATAATAGACTTCTCCCTCGCGGTACGTTGCGTTCAAAATTGAACAATAATTTCAAAAACATGTGACTGATGAAAATTTTTTAAGTTATTATTTTTATTTTTTATATGAACTTTATATTTCGTATATACTACATTAAAAAAAATATATCTTCCAAAATATTGTCATTTACATCCGCACCCTATATTTGAATTTTTAGTATTGGAAAGATATTTTTTATTAAGTTATATTACTTTGGTAATTTGCGCGATTAATTGTATTCCGTCATTCATTCTCGCATTTTCGTTGTTGACTAGAAACTTGCACAAACAAACGTATTTAAGTATACCAATTACTTACTTACAAATTAAAATTTTTTTTTCAAGTAATTTTTAAATCAAATGATGTTGCGTACCGAAAATCAACATCACTTTCATTTGCTTTATGCAAATGAATGGAGTTAATTAAAAGTTGTGCAAATGTCTTCCAGTTGAAGCGATTCGAAGCTTTACGTGTGGATTACACGTGATTTTTCAATCGCTTTAGAAAGATCATTCGCATAGGCTGATCTCAGAGGGATACTGTAACCAGATGCGAATCGTGCTCTTCACTAACGGGGGTTGATGGAGCAGTGTTTGGTGTGGGTGGACCATTAGTACTACATTGATGATCAATCGTACCTGTTGCATGAAATCATTTTTATGACAGTGCTGCAGTAAATTTTAACTTTTACTAATTTTAATTTTATTTTTTCTCTTATCAACACTATATGTATCAATACTATAATCCTATTTTTTCTACTTTATTATATTCATTATATATTTATTTATTTATTATTATATATTTAATTATTTTATTTTTTACTACGATGATCTTATGAAGTTAATAACGTGAATTGATATTTGCATTATATAATTTCATTTTCATATTTTTTTTGTGAATACGTCAACTATTGCAATATGTGACTAAAGATATATAATTTTCAAACTTTAATTAATGCATGTCTTACCTGTAAAGGAGTTGGAGCGACTTTTAAAAGATGAATCAGGCCAGCAGATCCTACAAAGGGGCTTCAACAATCGAAATCTCGGCCGGGGCATTCGTAAAAGAACATAAATATATGGATCCAGGGTGAAGTGAATGCATAAAAGAATATCGGCTATGATGTGGAAAATTCGAATGCATTTTACAGTGACCGCCGTTTTAGGTAAATGCATCGCGAATTGAGTCAATGGAATGGAAATCTAGAGAAGACAATAAACAGAATTTAATAATTTAGAGTTTAATAATTTAATCTAAATAATAAAAAAATTTATTTAATCATTGTAGATAGAATGTTATTCTTACAAAAAAAAAAACATTTAAAGACAGGGAGAGACATTCGCAATTGTGTTATTAAACCTATTCTTTTATTTATTTATTAAAATTTTTATTTATAAAATAAATGGACTATATACATATATAACAGTGATGTCTTTAATTTGTACAAAAAATATTTGGTTATGTTATATCTCTCTATTATATCTATTTTGCGAATTAATTTACTCCGCGTGTGTAAAATTTTCTATCACCTGACAAAACCATCAACAGGATGAAATCAATTCAGAGACGATCAGAATATTGGCTCGCGGATGTCTCGATGGCTCGTACGTGAAACTATTCTCAAATATTGATCATTTATCTTTATCGACCTTCGCTTTTAGCGGAAGCGCGCGATATTTCTGTACTGGTTAGATGTAATAAATAATAATGATCATCGTTTCCGGCAAAAAGATGCTTGCTGTAAGTTAATCAATTTATTTAGAAAAATCTCTATTTATTTATTTTGTATGAAAGTTTTTGTATGAGAGTTTTTATTTAGTATTGTCATACTCTTAATATTATTTATTATCATATTGTTATTATTTGCTATTATTATTTGCTATTATTACTTCTTTTTCTTTTTCTTCTTATTGTTATCTGTTTACAATGCAAAAATTATATCAATAATTTATTCTATAATTTTTTAATTGTTTTATCTTAAAATATTTTTCTGATAAAAATGTTTTATATGAAAAGTATCTTTTTATAAAATAGATTTTTAAAAATTCAATATATCATCAAAATATTTTCACACCGCGTATAGCAATCTCAAGAATCATTTCGTTATAAAAATTATTTATTTCCTCTTAATACTATTAAGATTAAAATGGAGGAACATCGTAAATATAACAGGAAACATCGGCTTAAAACAGTACTCAGTAAGCAAATCACGTGATCCCCTCGTTGAATTGCCGAAAGTAAAATCTATTCCCGACAAAATTTTCACAAGGTCATGTTATATTTATAGCGACAAATAATAAAAAGGAATATAACTGGAAGAGACAGGAATTTATATTTCAACCAAAGATTTCCCTTTTAATTACAAGAGAACTATTGTGTATAGAGAACTATCAGCACTATTGTGTCAGTCTATTGTTCATTAGAATTGTAAAACAAGAATAGAATGATTCAATAGCGATAGTGCGCTCTCCGAATACAGCCATATATTCATAACTTATTAAATATAAAAAATAATAAATATTTTATATTTAAATATAAAAAATAATAAAAAACAGGAAGATACATACGTTACACAAAAGACATTAATATTAATTTATTATATTAATTTATTTTATATTAATTTATTTTACCAGTAAAATTTGTTTTCCATTATTTATTATTTTATTGTATTTTTAATTATTATTTCATTTTTTATGTTTATCTATTATTAAAATTGTATAAAAACAATAATTAATATTAATATATTAATTATTGTTTTTATACAATTTTGTCATAAGATAGATTATATAATCATAAATTAATTATGGCGATAAACTTACCATGTATGGCATCCAGCATATAACGAATGATATTGATAATACAGCCATAAGTCTTGCGAATGCTCTTTCTTCAGTTGTAACTGTTTCTAATCGATGTGGTGTATGTATTCCGGCTATAGTCAACAAAGGTTTTGCCCTTGATGAGGCTCTGGAGATTCTCCCAAGAGCAACTGTACGACGACTCAATTTACTCAAAGCCCTAGAAACTGCCAAGTTGCACCAAACAATTGACAAACATAAAAGAGTACCTATAATTTAAAAAGAATTAGAATATTTAGTAACTTGAAAATAATTTTTTTATAATTGGATCTTTTCCGTTAAAATTGGAAACATATTTATAATAATTGCCATAATTAGTTACAGCAATTATTATTTAAATGCAATTATTATATATGTTGATATGTTTATATTAAAATAGAATAATCAACTAATTGTAAGTAAATATTATACCTTTTTAATAATTCAGTAATTTCTTCTTTTTATTATATGCTCATTTACTCACCAAAAATAAACCATACATAAGCATAAGCGATATCGCTCAGCTCTGTGGCCTCTCTGTAACGCACGCATTGTTTGTCTTTATAATACAATCCGAAGCCCATAACCGGAAGACTGGTTATCGTTAATGCAATCAACCAAAGCGCCAACATGCAACGCACAATTACCGGATACGTCACCTGCTGAAAGATACATGCGTGTTATCCATTAAGACATCGAGACATATCGATGCAGATATCGACTTTTTGTTGCAATTTTTATTTTGCAACAATTTTTGTTTTGCAATAATTACAGATTGAAGAAATCGAGAAAAATTAATTATTCGAAGAAATTTATACTGCCATAAATTAACAAAAAGAACACTAAGTGACAGAAATTAATAGTCTTTACTTATAAATTTACTTATAAACTTTCATTAATTTCTATTTCTGTTTAATTGTAAACAAATTATTTTATAATTTTTTATAAGAAAATATTTTGTAAGAAGATTAATGTCATTCATTGTTCATGAATGAGATAATGCTATTGCTGATTTATTGTAAAAATTTTTAAGTTCAATTCGATTTGCTAATATTGATTTTTAAACATTCATCTAATTTGAATTACGAATTTTCTATATATTCATACAAACATAAATTATAGAATATAATTAATTATATAATTGGAGTTTTAATATTAACAAAAATTAAATTTGTCTCTCAAAGAAACACAACAAAGTATCCCTTTTCGAGTTTGATGAGTTTGTAATAGATATGTTGCAATCAATTCATTAAAATAAGGGATATGTATTGTTTTATGCATACACTCTTAAGGATTCAAACATCTTTTGAAAAAAAAATTGGTTAATTTTTTTAATATTGTTGAAACTATAAAAGATAAAAATTTTTTTAGATTTAAAATTTCTATCCCAGATCTTATATTATTTTCATGTCTAACTATTCGTTCTTGTTTCTTTTTCGATTATATATAATCTTTATGCGTTTGTTAATTTTCTGTTCTGCAGAAACCTTTTGAAAAAAACAGAAGAAAAGGAACCAAGAAAAAAATAATCTAAATAATTATCATGAAAGAACAATTCGTCCAAGTTTTATCTTATAGTGTCTTATACCGTTACATACGATTTTCATAACACAATCAGGATAAGGTAAGTGAATAATGTAACTGATAATTGAAGTTTTGTACACCAACTTTAACATAAATATGAGAGAAATAACATATGTTCGCATTGATGCCTTGTTTTAACGAATTGCATCATGAAGAGAATTTCGAGAACATCATTCTGCGCAAAATCTTTATGAAACTTTCAAGGTCAATCGTCTGCTCTCAAAATCGATACTTGTTTTGTGGATTAAATTACGTCTAAAATTGACCAGATATCGATGTCTGATAAATTTATGAATTTTTCGTTTGCAATTTTATATAGTTTCATGTGCGATCTACGCGTAAAACGATATCGTGAAATTAATATTAAAAGTACCATATTGCAATTGAAAATATGATCTGTTTTATTAATCTTTTAAGACCAGTTTTTTAGTCATATATTTATAAATTTAGGAACTCGTTAATCTATCACTTGTCACGTTTTGATGAAAGGATGTATAAATAACGTGGGTTTCACATTATTAATATCATTCCGGAGAATAACTTGAATTAGGTGGGGTTTTCTTGGGAAAAACAATATTTGACAAAGTGCGACCTAACAGTAACAGTAATCAACTCCAATTACTTGCAATCTTGGATACTGCGTCTAAAGATGATCACGCTGTGTAAATTGACGTCAGTTTCTATCGCATTGTGATCGATATCTCCTTAATTAGTAGCCGCGAAATTATTCGAATTTATTAATAAAAATTTGTCAGAATAGCATTTCAGGAAAATACTTAGTACTCCTACATCAATATACAATAATAATTCATGCAAGAATCAGTTTTTAACTCGATCAATGTTTTCCCTTTTTTTATTCCATCTTTACCATAAAATACGATCGTTCTATAAGCGTCGTAACTTTGGAGTGGCGCATGTGTATAAATTTCTCACACGCATTAATTCGTTCGCAGTAAGACTATGTCATGAATCATAACATGCGATTTACTTTGGCAACACGCTTTGTGGGTTGACTTTCGGTCCGTCATTAAAAATAATAATCTATTGAAAAAATAAAAGAGAAAGAAAATTTATTTTTCCAATAGATTATATGTAAAGTAAAATAACTTCTTTATTTTCTTTATTTAGATTATATAAAAGAACAAATTAATTCTCTTTTTGTACAAATAATTGATAAGTAATTACATTATTATTTTTCAACATATTAACATCTTTATAATATGATGCTTGATTATAGCATTAAATTATCAAAAATTGCTTGTTAATTTAATTCACGATTACTAGAGTAGTTTTAATTGCATTTATAGTCCGGAAAAACAATTCGGCGTGCAGTTCGAAAAGACTACAATGTGATATATACGCATAATGCAAGTACATATATAGTATATATTAGTAATTCAAGATTGAATTATTTAAAAGTAATGAAGATCTAGCTTCGACCGTAATAGGCATTTTTAATTTCTATTGATTGTGTACTCATATGCGATCTAAAAATAAAGATTCTTGATATTATTTTAAACTTAGGCTTACCTTTTGATAAACAAAGGGTCTAGTTAAAGCTAACCATCTCTCCGCTGCCATGACGATGGCGACGCAGCCACTGAAGAGACCAAAAAGTCGCCAAACAACTCGAAGAGAGCAAAATATTCTTGTAGATGTCACATCACCCGCATAAATTGTAACATACATCTGAACTAACATCCCCAATAACGCTACGAGATCATTGGTTGCCAAACAACGTAACATTAGTAAATGCTTACGGTTTCTTCTCTGAAATAAAATAAGTTGATGTATAGCATGGCATTGTTGGCACTCTACAATTTTTTATTAGAAAAACAACAAACTTTTCACTTTCAAAACGATTTAAATTAATAAAAATATATTTTTATTATATAATAGAAATATATTTTTTATATTAAATTATTGATATATTTTATTTAAAAAAATATTAGACCACTCATTATTTGCTTGTTTAAAATATATTTAGTATAATTTTATACGTATTATTAACTTTTTTACAAAAAAAGATTTCAAAACACTCTAAAAAAAGATTTAACTTTCTATCAATTTGAACTGTCGACTTATCATGTCAATATCAAATATCTTACGGTTTTTTACTTCATATTTTTATAATCAACTATAAGAAAGCATTTCAATTATACTTTCCGCATTTTTTTTTCTACTAAACCTTTAAACATTTCTGGAATTTAATTAAATCACGTTATTCTTAAAGCAAAACATCTTATTTAATATAATATACATATATTTTTCAGATTTAATTTTTATAGATTTTAATTTTTATTTTTAACTATAAAGATAACAAAACTATGCCAAAGATAAATACATTTTTAAGGAACACTTAATCAACTTAATAAGTAATTCTTTAATAGATATACTTTATATTATTAATTGAGAGGAAGAAGAATTTTTTTATTTGAGAAAAATAAAATTATAATGTATGTAATATATAATTTCTGATTTGTTTTATTTATAATAATAGTTATTACAATGTATTATTACAATTTAAAAAATATTAGTAGTTTATATTAATTAATATAAACTAATGTATGATGTTATGATTTTTTAATTACCTTGTCTCGATGAAAAAGTATGACCAGCGCAGATACGTTACCAATGACGCCAGTTGTGTAGACAAGAGTCAATACAAGTTGAGGCACGAAACTCACATGCTTTCTTCGTGTAACACTTGTCATTACATCGGTCATCGTTGTCTTATTAAATGCAAAAGTTGACAAGGTATCGTTATCCGCCAACATGATTGCAGTATGTATGAATTAAAAAATTTAATTTCACCTATCGTTTATTTCCTCAGCTTTGCTGAAAAACTTATCTTAATATGACGTAAAGAGCTAATCTAATAAAGTATCCAGACTCGTTTGACCTTATAACCGGTTGGCTTACATTAATTATAATATAATTCAATGTAAAAGTAATTTCTCTTTAAAACATGCCAATTTCAATTGTCACCTTCCTCGTAAGCAACTGCGAGTTTCTATTTATAGTAGTAGTATAAACATCAAATCATATTTTGATCACTTGGTACACACTTTTTCTCTTTCAGAATTTTATTCAGATTATTAGAATAGATCCAAAGAAAATAGAAGTTTCTCCTGTATGAAAAATGCAAGTGCATTACATTATGCAATTTGAATTGATTGCGTTTTTGCGTTTTCTAAAAATGTATAATTTCTTATTGTTATTTGCATTAACAATTCTTGCATATGTAACACGATATTTTTTTGCAATATTTTTCCAAAGAGGATCACTGAAATAAAATTAACAAGATACTTTACATTTCTGTGCATAATTTGTAATGTAATTTATAATGTAAGTGACTTAATATACTGAAAATGGGAAAATCGGAATTTGAAAGTAAATAATAATAAAAATAATTAATTGTAATCAGAAGATTAAAATTGAAAGTGCTCTGAATTATGGATATAACAACTTATAAAACTTTTCGAATAACGAAGGATCGTAAAACGCAGAGAGAGAGAGAGAGAGAGAGAGATTTTAAAGCTTATTAATCTCACAAAATTGATAAAGCAATCTGGAGATAATAAATATTATAAAAATTTAATATACATATTAAGAATATTATTTCTAATAACTTAATTTTACAACAAATGAAATTTTATAATAGTTTAAGCATTGCGTAAAAATTCTGAACTGTATGAAGCAGCGAAGACAGCCGATATTTTATGAAACAATTATTATATATATAAAA